CGCATACCACAATGTCTGCTGAGGGGTTGGGGCCAAAATGTGCCAGCCTTATTTGCACTGCCCGGTTAAATTGTAATTTCTCGGGTGTTAAATCCAAAGTACTGGGCACATTAGCTCTCTCCATTCCCGGTGTCGCATCCATTTCTACCAGCAAAGCAATAATTTCATGTTTCTTTAAGGTGCTTGCTGACCGTCCTCGGAATTCCAATATATCTTTAAGCGTAGCACGTCTTAACTCCTCATACTGCATTTCGTTTGCTCAATTGGGATGTGTAGCTGACCTCCAGTGCTGTGGGATTCATCCCGTCGCTCGCCACCAATTGTTAAGACACCTCCAGTGTCTTTAGGCAAAACCGCCGTTTAGTAGACCTTCCCTGTCTGCAATATCAGTAACTCCGTTCGCCTAACCTGTAGTGCACGAACCAAATGCAGGGGAAGCGACAATCTCCCGGCCGGGATCCGTGAACGGCTCCAAACTCCCGAACGGCAATACACGAACTGCTGCTAGCCGCCGAACAATAACATCCACCAAGCGGCTTTCGTTTTCATCCAGCAGTCTCTAAACGTGAAGAAGAAATCCCCCCAATAACGAGACAGAAGCTCCGCATTGAGGGTCAAACAGGATCTGGCTTTACTGTGGGCTACCTGCCCGTATTTATGCAGGTCTCCCACTTGGTGGACACTCTCCTAGGGGACCAAATGGGAGACTTAAATGACAGACAGATATGGGGACATTCCAGACACATAGACACAGTTTTTACCCACAATGCACTATGATTCCCTCCCCTCTGTCCTGGAGATAATTACCAAGTAACTCAATTATCTCCAGGACAAAGCCAGTCGCCATTTTAAACATAAAACCCAAAAAGACATAAAAATACATAATTTCACAATAACCGAACACTCTGCATTCGTATCACCAATGCCCAGATAGCCTGGAGTGCATATTATTAGCGAATAGCGCTCAGATCCCACACACATAGTTCAATCGCCATGGAGTCAAAGTTCTTACAGTCTTTTGGTACACGAATGACTCCATGGGAAGGCTATCTGGGTTAAGTCCTTTCGTATGCTTCCCAAACTCCCGAACGGCCGGTATTCGTATGCTTTCGTGGAGGCAGCCAGGCGTTCCGTTGTTTCAGCGGTGTTCGACAGAAAAAGTGTCAGTTTTTAGTTCCATGAAAATAGAGCCGAACACCGCTGGGCTTTCGCATGGTTTTAAAATGGCCGCTGCCTCGTGGTCGACATACGAACGACGACCACCCTGAATTCGTGTAATTGAGAAGTGTCTGCGGTTAACCACAACGTTCTAATTGGGATCAATAGGTTGACCAGCAGCACACTTCCCTCCTGGGTGGCCGTCCGTTCGGCTAGTTTGTTCGGGAAAAACAGTCATTCGAATGGCTGGGCTATAGAAAACAGCCATTCATACGAACAGGATAAAAACAGACGAATACACCTAAAATAAGCAGACAGATGGTTCTGTCACAAAAACCCATTCTCAAACCCATCCAACAGGAGCCGTGCCGCAGCCCGGTTCCTATAAAGGTCGAGCCACTGGCGCATCGCATTTACGAGCACCGGGGTCGTCACCCTTAGGCCCCATATCCCCCCTTTCGCCCGTTTTGCGTCGCTTGAAACAGCGAGAGGCAGAATGCGCCCCCCTGCAACCCAAGCATTCGTTCCAACAACAACCCGGCCTCTGAGTGAGGGCCAGTGGGGACGCGGAGGAGCCTGGACGGCTGGACGGGTCAAAATGGCAAGCCAGAGGCCATCTGATCCCATGACAGCGATGGGCGTACTGCCAATCGTTGACGAAACTGTTCGTCGTACCTCCACAAACCCAGCCCCACATAAGTCCTGCAGGTGTTCTAAATAGTGTCCTGATAACAGAACTTGTGGGGAGACTTCTCACCCACTACGCTGGCCAGAATGGAGAAAGTTGTGGTTATTTGGGAATCTTTTGGTAACAAAATTTCTCCTTATCCTTACCCGACTCCTTGCTGTCTTTCTCCGCCACAGGAGGGGCATCTTCCAGCGGCAGGAGATAGAAAATCTCAATGAACTCCCCCTTCCAAATCTTGTCCCTTGTTTCTTGTTTCAAGTGGAGCCCTAGAGGGCCTGACCAGCACATATATGCTGCGCCACAAGCCATATCCGCAACCCCAACCTCGGGTGAACCGTTGCCCACGGGCCCCCTAGCCCCGACCGCCGCGGGTCCCAGGGAGCGTGAACCCCCACCCACAACTTCAAGAGGGACAGAGAGGAAAGGAGACTGAACCGCCGGGTGGAGCAGCGCGGGGACCAAACTGACCGCAGCTGACTGTCTAAAGAGGTGTCCCCACTACCTGCCGCCCCCCGCTCCCAGTGATCCAAAAAACCCAGAAGACCTGAAAGGAACCCCCCAGCCCAAGCCCCGAAGCATTAAGAGAAGAGGGAAAACAGTACTCACCGGTCGCAGTTCAGCGATCCGAACCTAAAACTGCACGCAAAGAAGGCTGAGGAACCAAAAGTTGAGATCCAGCATCCACAGAAGGCATCTGCTGTGTTCCAGGCGCCATCTGCTGGACAGAGCCATGAACTGCCTCCAGGTCCTGAGAAGAGGGCCCCATCTGTGATCCAGGCGCCACCTGCTCGACGGAGCCATGAACTGCAGACAGGACCTGAGAAGAAAGCGGTGGAGAAGCTGAGAGCCCACACCCTGGAGGAGGTGGCCGATAACAGAACAAGGCCAAGAACTGCAGGGGGCCCAGGCAAGGTAGAGAGAGGGGGAGAGAACAGGGGGGGAATAGACAGAGTAGGACAGGGACCTAGAAAGGGGGGACAAGAAAGAAGAAGAAATGGGGGGAAATAGCAGAGAGGGAAAGGGGGGGAGGGGGACACACAGAGGGAGGCACAGGGGGTCCAGCCAGAGGCAAGCTTGACCCCCCCAGGAGACCGCACAGCAGGAGACCGGGGAAAGGGGGAGGGAGCAGGAGACCCAGCATGCCGGGAGCCTTCCTCACTGGCAGAGGAGGCTCCCGACTCACAGGGGGGGACCCCCGCCCCCCAGACGGCGGTACCGGGGTACCCCACGCAGCCCCACTGACGATCTAGAAGCACCATCAACCCCCCACCGACTGCGGGGGGACTGGGAATGATGCCGGCAGCCGCCCGTTGCCTGGATGGATCCGCCGGCCTCTTACCGCCCCTGTCCCGCGGGACCCCACTGGCGGCCGGGGCGGGATGCAGGGGGGCCAGCTGGGGCATGGAAGCCCGACATGCAGGCCGTGCACGAGGCCTCCGGGCTGCAGGCTGCACGGCAGGGGGAGGCCTCACCTCAGGCCTCCCAGTAGTAGGCCGCACCACGTGCGCGGCTGCGGAAGGCCGCGAATCCCAGCCTCTAGTAGCAGGCCGCGTGTCTGAGGACTGGGAGCCCGGGCCCGAGGAGTGTTCTCAGGGGAGAGCCTGGCAGGCAGGGCGCGAAGCTACCACAGACATTAAAACCCACATGGCATCAGAGCTAAACAAAAGGCTCACAGGCCTCCATGAGGACATCGAAACCCTGACACACAGAACAGACCACGCTGAATCGAACATCACGGACCTAACCTCTAAATCCCAAGCACACTCAGAAGACATCACCTACGTCCACGTGAAAATCGGAGCCATAGAAGAAAGCCCGGAAGACCCAAACAGGTCCCGGCAAAACAACATACGGATTAGAGGCCTACATGAAACCGTCACACCTGACGGCCTACACGCCACACTCACAAGCCTATTCCAGTCTATCCTACCTGAGGCTTCAGAGCAAGATCTCCACATGCACTGGGCCCACAGAGCACTCCGACCACCCACCCTGAACCCAGACTCGCCCAGAGATATCATAGTCCGCATGCATTATTTCACAATCAAAGATTGGATCCTCAACCTCACTAGAACGAACCCCTGCTACACCAAGGGATTAGCCTGGCCTTCTTCCAGGACCTGGCCTCGTCTATCCTGAAGAAAAGATGGGACCTTAAGCAACTAACCCTCACGCTCAACCATTATGGGGTACATTACATGTGGGGCCACCTCTTCAAGCTAATAGTCAGAAAAGACAACCAGACCCACATCCTGACAAGTGCCTCCGAAATTACACCATTCGTGGAGTCCCTGGGTCTGACCCTACTACCGGCCCAGCAGACAACTTCCTCATATCTGCGGCCACAAAGGGAGAGGCTTTCCGACTCCCCCTGCTGAACACCACGCAAGAGGGCCCCTACAAGGCCTGAAGACCGGGACTAACCATAACCACGACCAAGCGACTTCCATACCTGAGCAAGCCCACAAACGAAACATCTGATCGTACCTGAAAATGGACAACAGACTTACTGATGCTGACAAGCCTCCCCCACACTGGCCCCCATTCTGCAGATATTGAACACTCCCATCCCTCCATGAGCTCGCACCGGACCCAGAAATTCTCCTACCAGAGGGTGAAAACCCCCTACTTTACACACCCCTTTCCAGGACTCCGAGACTTTAAGCCCTCAGTACACCCTGAGCACCACCAAAATATACCCTTATCCCCTGGCCCTTAACCCCCTTCTCCACCCCCCTTTTTTTTCCCTCTTTCTCTCTCTCTCTCTCTCTTCTGCTCTTTCCCTCTCCCTCCCTCTCTCAAACCCCCCAGCACTCCCCCCACATGTCGCAACACTCTGCGGAGGGACTCCATTTGGGATCCAGAGACAAACCAGGGCCCAAACCCACACGCCTCACATGCCTTTCCATAAACTGTAAAGGCCTCAACAACCCAAACAAAAGACACCGCCTACTTAGGTGGGCAAACCGCTCCGCAGCCGACATCATCCTACTCCAGGAAACCCACTACAAACAATCCAGAGCTTTCCCCATCTTAAACAGACACTATCGAGAGTGTCACGGTTTCCTCAACGGGCAACCTCTGGGCAGGCCATAAGGCCGTCATAAGGGGCAAACTAATAGCAGCGGCCACGGCTCACAAAAAACAACAACTAATGCAACTTGAAACACAACTAACTGCCCTCAGAGCCGCAGAACTCCAACACAAAAAGGATCCTAGCCCCGCCCTAACAGCCCAACTACAGACACACAGACAAGAAATTCAGAAATTTATGGCACAAGACGCTAAAAAGGCACTTCAATGGACTAGACAAATATTCTACGAGAAAACGAACAAGGCAGACACACTTTTAGCCCGCAGGTTCCGCCAACGGCAACAATCCAAACATATCACCCAAATACAAACACCAGACGGTCAACTACGTACTCTACCACACCAAATAGCGACTGTTTTTCAAGATTACTACGTCTCTCTCTACGACCACGACCCTGAATCACGACAAGACCCCAACGCCACACGGGTAAAGATAGAGACATTTCTAGAATGCATCCGCATGCCTTCACTCACAGACGAGGGGTGAAAGACCCTTAATACGCCCATCACTACTGAAGAAATCGCACAAGCGATAAAAACACTCAAGGCAAACAAATGCCCAGGCCCTTGACGGCTTCCCCGGACTTTATTACAAGACGTACCCAACAACGCTACTACCACACCTCCTATCACTATTCACCTCCATTATGGACGGAACCCCGCCCCCCAGACATGCCGAGGGCCAACATATGCTGTAACGGAGCTCCTTGTACTCCGACTGAGTACCGTTGACAGATGCTCCTAGTGCTTCCTGAGGACTCCAAGCGCTGCAGCAGACACCACAACCACCACAGACTCCGCAACCGCCGTATCTTGACTGGAGTCTCGCCGTCTTCCTTCCACCCTGGATCAGCTTCTGTCCTCCAGGACTGTGTGGTGAAGACCCCTCCTCCAAGGAGAGCGTGTCAGGAACAAGCTCTTAAAAGAGCTAAGTGACTCAAGCTCAGGGAGCATGCAGAGCATAGCAATCCCCAGTGTGATTATAACAGCTCCCTCCAATAACGAGACAAGGCTACGTTTAGAGGGATCAAGAAGAACTGTCAAAACCTTTATTTCCCTTGGGACCAGCCAATAGGGTCACCACAATAACATTGTTGTGAAACCTCAATAAAATCACAAACAGTCAAACCATATCAAGCAACACACAGTGACTTATCACAACACAATGGCACATTTTTAAAGGGGTGGGGGGAGACAATATTTAACAGTAAATATCTCACCTGCCTGCAGAATTAGCAATATGCAAATCTACCCGAATATGCAAATGAACCAGTCTTGCAATTCAGGTAGTGCATATTGCTGTTGCTACCAACAGAGGGCACTAGACAAGCTCCATAGCCAAACCCACCTAGTTGGTAGCAAACCTCAGCAATACAAGAGAGCAGGCAATACATTACACAGTACACACACACACACTATAAACAATTACATTACACACACCCTGCACCTATAATGGGTACAGGGTGACTAAAACATAAGATAAATAAAGCAGCCTACATAAATAGTCTGTCTGAAGGTAGACTAGGGGCTTTAAAGCCAGATACATGAAAGAGTCATAGTCACAGGGGAGGAGGCTGGCAAGTAGGCCTCTCCAGGACCAAGTGGCGAAGGGCACTTCGTCACATATCTCCCCTTCGGGGGGAAGACTAACCAGGCACCTGACTTTCTGTCGGTCAGTGCCTAAGTTAGTCGAGTCACCCACCGACCATAAGCAAGTGCCAGAGTAGCCCACCCACAACAAACAGTTATTAGAGCAGCCCACCCACAGCAAACAGTGACTGCACCTGGGTATTCCTCTGGGGTGATGGGGCAACACGCTGTGGGGACTTGAGGGGCAGAGGCCAGCGGCGCTCTGCCCTGATGCCAGCGCTTCTGCTGGGAGGAGGGGGGTGCAGGCCAGTCCTGTGACAAGGGGATCGGTAGGGCAGAGGCCAGCAGCGGTCTGCCCTGATGCCAGCTCTTCTGCTGGTATAGCCTGCAGGACATCAGGCTCTGGACAAGGGACAAAGGGAGGGCAGAGGCCGACTGCACTCTGCCCAGCTGCCAGCTCTTCCGCTGGGGGGCTTGGGACATAGTCCGGCTCAGTAGCCAGGGGAACGTGGGGGTCAGTGGGGGTTAACATCTCCCCTGTTAACCCTGGGGCCAAGTTAGGAGTTAGCTGGGGCGGGGAATTCGTACTTACCCCCTCCTCCTGTTGTCCCTGTGAGGGTAGTTGGGGATCTGGACAGGCTGTCCAGCATCCCTGTAGGTCGGGCACAGAGACCACGGTCCCCTCTGTGCCATCTGGGAGATTGGTGTCTCCCCTTGGTAGGGTAAGCTGCCGCTGGGGAGATAGGGTGCTGTGCTCCTCTCCCTGAAACACAGGCTGCCGCTGGAGAGGGAGACCGCCTGTCTCCACTCCCATAACATTGTCCTGCTGCTGGAGAGAGAGACCAACTGTCTCTCCTCCCTGTAGGACACACTGCTGCTGGGGAGGAAGGACGACACCTTTGGCTCCCTGGAATTCGCACTGCCGCTGGGGAGGAAGGACGACACCTTCGGCTCCCTGGAATTCGCACTGCCGCTGGGGAGGAAGGACGACACCTTCGGCTCCCTGTAACTTGCACTGCCGCTGGGGAGTTAGGACGACACCTTCGGCTCCCTGTAACTTGCACTGCTGCTGGGGAGGAAGGACGACACCTTTGGCTCCCTGTAACTTGCACTGCCGCTGGGGAGGAAGGACGACACCTTCGGCTCCCTGTAACTTGCACTGCCGCTGGAGGCTAGGTGTCCATATCCTCAACCTCCACAGTTGTCGCTCAAAGGCCATTGCCGCACTGTTCTCAGCACTCAACTGGCGCATTACTTGGTGGACCACCTCGTTTGAAAGGTCTGGGCCATAGCAGACCAACCGCCTCTTTACCTCCTCAATGTAAGCGTCGTCCTCGTAGCGACGTATCATGTTGAGGTGCTCTTCGCAGGGCTCTATCCATCCCTGCTCCATGCTGCTGTAGTTAGGAACACTGCACAGTGGCTAGCGTTGCCCTCAATAACCTCTCATACGATACCAGTGTCTCCGAGCTGCTTCTCCTCGCACTAGGACGCCATCCCACCGCTGCCACCAATGTAACGGAGCTCCTTGTACCCTGACTGAGTACCCCCCATTGACGGATGCTCCTAGTGCTTCCTGAGGACTCCAAGCACTGCAGCAGACACCACAACCACCGCAGACTCCGCAACCGCCGTATCTGGAGTCTCGCCGTCTTCCTTCCACCCTGGATCAGCTTCTATCCTCCAGGACTGTGTGGTGAAGACCCCTCCTCCAAGGAGAGCGTGTCAGGAACAAGCTCTTAAAAGAGCTAAGTGACTCAAGCTCAGGGGAGCATGCAGAGCATAGCAATCCCCAGTGTTATTATAACAGCTCCCTCCAACAACGAGACAAGGCTACGTTTAGAGGGATCAAGAAGAACTGTCAAAACCTTTATTTCCCTTGGGACCAGCCAATAGGGTCACCACAATAACATTGTTGTGAAACCTCAATAAAATCAAAAACAGTCAAACCATAGCAGGCAACACACAGTGACTTATCACAACACAATGGCACATTTTTAAAGGGGTGGGGGAGACAATATTTAACAGAAAATATCTCACGTGTCTGCAGAATTAGCAATATGCAAATCTACCTGAATATGCAAATGAACCAGTCTTGCTATTCAGGTAGTGCATATTGATGTTGCTACCAACAGAGGGCACTAGACAAGCTCCATAGCCAAACCCACCTAGTTGGTAGCAAACCTCAGCAATACAAGAGAGCAGGCAATACATTACACAGTACACACACACACACTATAAACAATTACATTACACACACCCTGCACCTATAATGGGTGCAGGGTGACTAAAACATAAGATAAATAAAGCAGCCTACATAAATAGTCTGTCTGAAGGTAGACTAGGGGCTTTAAAGCCAGATACATGAAAGAGTCATAGTCACAGGGGAGGAGGCTGGCAAGTAGGCCTCTCCAGGACCAAGTGGCGAAGGGCACTTTGTCACATATGCTTACTCCCGAAACCTGAAAAAAAACATCCAGACCCAGGCCACTATAGACCAATCTCACTACTAAACACATACATCAAACTCTTTACAAAATTATAAGTCAACCGACTACACCCATTCCTCCCCATATTGATCCACCCAGACCAAGTGGATATTATCCCATTCCGTCAGGCAAGCGACAGCACTATGAGAACATACAACCTAATATGGAAAGCTAACCAACGACGACACCCCACTCTCCTCCTCTCACTAGATGCTGAAAAAGCATTTGTCCGCATACTCTGGCCCTACCTATTCGCAACCCTAGACAAAATGGGCTTCCCAACGGCCTTCGTAGACATGATCAGGGGACTATACTCCCACCCCACAGCGAACTTCCTAATCCCGAATGCCCAACCCCCCTACTTCACAATCCACAATGGCACGTAACAAGGCTGCCCCCTCTTCCCCCTCTTCTTCGCCCTGTCACTGGAACCCCTCCTCCAAAAAATACGCCAGACCAAGGCTATAACCAGCATTAAAATCCGCAACAAAGAATATAAGATAGCAGCCTATGCAGGTGACCTCCTGCTAACACTGACAGAACCCACATCTTCCCTACCCCCACTACTTGCCCTCCTAGACGACTACGCCACTGTCAGTCTACAAATTAAACCTTAGCAAAACAGAGGCCCTCCCAATCCACACCCCGCCGACACGCTAGAGGAACTCCAACTAGAACACCCATTCCGATACGAACCACAGAGCATACAATATCTAGGCACACAACTACCGGCAGATCTACACTTAACATACCAACTCAACTATCTCCCACTCCTAAACAAAGTGACTCAAGATCTGGAAACTTGGCAACACCTATTCATTTCATGGCTGGGCCACTTGGCATCAATAAAGATGAATGTGCTCCCACATTTTATTTACCTCTTTCAGGCCTACTCAAACCCATATCCAAGACAGATTTCAAGTTGCTACAGACTCAAATCGACAAATTCATATGGGCAGGGAAAAAAGAATTAAGAGAGCAACACTATACGTCCCACACAAGATGGGGGGACTGGGCCTCCCCAACTTCTGGGACTATCACCAAGCAGCCCAGCTAGCCCAAATTCAGAACTTACACGCCCCAGCAGGTCTCAAATTGTGGGTAGACCTTGAACATGACTTATTAGGTCGAGCCTTCCCCTCCCTACACCTATGGCTACCCCCCTCCCCCCCCCACGATTCCAGCACTGGCGCGCTCTATTCAACTCTGGGACCGGACCAATCGCAAAAACAACATTATCAACTCTCCATCCCCACTAACACCGATTCTACTCAACACTCAATTCGAACCAGGCATGACCCCCAAACATTTCGAAAGGTTCGAAGATAACGATTTGGTCAGGTTCTGT